ATCTACGTTGTTGTACTAAAGTTGATAGTTTCCGTATCTTTGCTTTACTGTGCCATAGATAAATTAAAATATAAAAAACTCAAAAAATGTCGAACATATTTTATTTATCGTCATGTATTATTAGACATGATATTTACATTCGAAATAAGGTTTCCTATGCCAAGCTCCTTTCTTATTCGTGGTTAGAGGAGGAAAGCAAATCTGAAGGCCAAATCACAATTAATTAAATTGGTACATATAACCCACACTCCATCAGTACATGAGTGGAAAAGCTATTTTACTTGAACTATAGAAAGTTATATTTGACGAAAAGTGTCAGGAGTCAGATTATTAAAATGATTAGGAAACTTGGATGGAATGAACTTTAGGATTATGTTATTGAAGGATTTTAATTGATAATTTCATGTGAAGCATTAACATAGTTGTTAGAACTTTAGGTTCAAATAATTTAAATTTGTTTTAAATTTCTAACAAGCTTGACTTGAGGATGATTTGGTTGCATATGAAAAGTTCTCTTATCAATTCATCGACTTTTAAGCTCTAAATTTGAGTCTCGTGTGTAACTTTCTTCTAAAAAAAAAAAAAATCTTTTAAGTTTAAACACAGCAATCCAATTTTTTAATTACTAATTGTTTCCATTGGTTTTACAGACCTCAGCCATCTTACCTCTATCCATCACAGATTATTCTTTCCCATCTTTCGAGAAAGACCCTACTTGTAGCTCAGCATCCTCTTTGTTTATTTGTCTATCCCTCTGTTTTAGAAGGATATGCCAACAACAGTTCATTGTTGTTTTGAGGTTTCTTGATGGGTTTCTTCAAGTTATACGCCCCTCCCATCACAAACCGCTAATCTCAACCCAATTTTATTAAACCATAATTCTTATGATGATAAACAAAATTGATAAAGCTAAACAAACTATAATAATTTAAGATTTTCAAAAAGTAAGTCTAGCATTTTTAATATTATGAAAGATTATTGGACAAAGTCGAATTGATAAAACAGTTATGAAAGCTTTTATATATTAACTATTTCAAGAAGCATTAATTTCAAAAATTTGAATTGCTGTTTTTAATTTCGAATGTTAGTTACTATTATCCATGCTTGCTTAGTTAATTATTTAATATCCTTACTCTTAATTAAACTTCCTTTATATTTCTAAAATTATATTACCCGGTGATATTCAAACACTCCAAAGTTTCATCATTTTATAACTCATTGGAGCTTGAAAAGATGGAAACTTGTAACTTTTCAACTAAAGCCATAATCAACTTTAAACTTTTTTTAATCAACATTGGTACAAATTTATCCTTTTTGAGAAGCAGTATTAAAAAAATCCGTAGAAAGTCAGTTTGCTGATACAGAACTGTTAGATGTAGGTTTTTGTTGTTCCTATGAATTTATTTGTCCCAATTGTGAATGTATTTTTTTAATTTAATATGTTATCTAACTAAAAAAATATGTTAAACAAAATAATTTCAATTTGCTTTTAAATCTTATGAAATACAAAATGAAAGGTCTAATTGTAAGAAGGATATACAAAGCCTTGGTCATAAAAAGAACGATTAATTTTAAAAACATTTTATTACATTACTTTTTCTGGAGATAATCTTCAAGTATCTAAGGTACAGGTCAAAGTGAATTAATAAATTATGAAAAATTATTTTTATAATTATGAAAAAAATTATTTTACCTAATTCATACATTCTAGGGTTCCTTAAGTCCTAAAAAGCAACATATTAAAAATTGTGATATAGAATCCTAATTTCTCTAAATTATTGGTTCTTTTTTTTTTTTTTTTATGAAATTTAAAGATTAGGTAGTAGTTATTTCATAGCAGAACATATCATGGAGTTTAGAGAAATAGTTTCTGCAATAGAGACGTAAGATTTTGACACTACAACCAAATCAAAACCACAATTGATTTTTGCTGTTTTATTTGTTAATAATCTGTATATTTTTGGCTGGATTTTAGTTTTACCATTAAAAAACCTTTTCTATGATACCATTACAAAAATAAAATAAAGTTGATCCTTGAATCAACATTTTGCTGAAATCATTTTTTAAATTTAAATCACAAAAGTGTTAATATGTATATGAAATATGCACGTTCAGTATGAATTTCATATATATATATTTTTTTTTTTTTGCGGTTGGCGCAATTGGCCATAAAAATGTTTGGCTGTGAGATTTGATCTCCTTGCAGCTGTATATTGCTTGCAGGAGCATGGATAGTCTGGAGGGGATCATCCAATCTCACGTTGCTATAAACCATGGTCTCCATGGACACCAGCGACAGACCATCCATAACTTCATAGCCGATCCCTTTGGTGCCAATCTGGCACTGTCCTTCCCACTCGGGTTCAAAGACCGTTACAGATCGGTCTAGCTCCGTGGATTATGGCTGCTCAAAGTCAGCAGGTACACGAGGACCTATATTTCTTTCCCTAAAACAGACAGTCCACCTAATCTCAGGGGAGCTACTGATATCCTGGTGAACCACATACTGAATCCTGATTTAAGTGCATGGGATAGGGTCATCAGTCCTATGCCTGATCGGAGTGAGTTGCCTCCAGTAGTCTTACGGGCCTCACATACCAGGGAACTGGAGGGCAGCATCACTCAAATTGAACGGTCACCTATCCGAGTAATAACCATGCTCGACTTAGTAACCATCATAATTGTCCATAGTATTAATATTGGTTAGTTCAAATAAACTTAATGTCTCTTGTAGTTTTAAAAATTACTGAAGGCACAGTTAAAGTTAGACTAAAAGTGAGACGACCTTGAGGAATATTCCTTCCTCTCTAACATTGAATCTTTTTTTTGGTGACATAATATCCAGAAGATGGAAATGATTTAATGCCAATTCAATACTATAAAAAAAAACCTTCCTCAAAATCATCCACATCTTATCTCGACTTCTACTATAGTTTAAATCACTCATATTTTGTTGCTAGATGACAAGATCATCCAACACTAAGTTATTTTACTCTTGAAGCAAGGACCCACCGTATTCTATAGAAACTTTTGTAAGGGCCTATTTATAAGAAATTTTATGTTTTCTGCTGATCAGCTGTTTTATTATAACCTTTCCAGCAGTGTTGCTTCTCTTTTTGTTTAGTATTTGTTAAGATGTCATGGAGTCATATCTTTAAATGATGTATCTTTATTTAGACTCTTAATGTGAGAGGTGGTTTATTTGTGATCTTGTTTTTTTCTGTGCTGATATTGTCTGAGTTGGTGAAATATTAACTGGTTAGTTGTTATCAGATGTTTGAAATCTTAAAATTAATTTATGTCTTTTTTTTTAGTGTTTACTCTTTTATATTAATTATTTTCTATTGTTATAGAGATGTTCATTTATGCTTGTCTGGAATATTGCTACTGTTATTAGCTTATGTGAAGGAAGGGGAGGGACATTGTCCTCCATAATTAATTTTTTTTAAAATAAAACATGTTGCAATACAAAAGGTATACCGAAAATTTGAGAATATTAATTTTTAAAAATCGTCCCATGTATATGTTGCATTTAATATAAACATATTTATAAATTGTTATTAAAATCAACTTTCCCAAACAAACAATTTCTGCATCTAATATAAAAGCTGTGTAGACCTTGTAGACCTTGCTGTGTAGACACTGATGCTTTCTAGCATCAGTGAAAATTGGCAGATACTTTTGCCTGATCTGGCATAAACAACCTTGGCCAACCTCCCATATAGTACCTACTAAATGTCTTCCAGTCCGTAGTTTTGACCCAGAATTTCATTCTGGATCTATTATTTTCATTTTTGACCTCTCAATCATGACAGATACTTCCAATAATGTCTTAAAATTATATATTCTACAGGCACATTTAAGAAATAAAACCTGACATATTAGTTAACCTAATTAATATGATAATTTTTGTCTTCAATATAATTATTTCGGTTGAAGGAAAATAATTAATCCTTGCAAATTACTTTAATAAATAAAGATACTAGACTAAAAATACAACTTATAAAGTAAATACTTCATTTTTTAAATATTTAATATACCTTTTATTTCTTATAAATTAGGCCGTCTTCCACTAACATTTTATTTATTAATTATTTTATTCCGGCAATGTTTCGACCAACAGTCTGGAAAAATTTAATGCCCTTGTTAGATTACATTTCATTTTTCATTACACTTGATATACAAAATCAATTTTATTTTACATAATTATTTAATCTAATGATCTATGTCATACAATTTCACTATATATAAATTTTTATACTTTTTTAAAAGCCTATCATATGCGTAACTTTACTCATTATATAAACTTGATACAAATTTATATATAGTGAAATTGAATGACATAGATCATTAGATTAAATAATTTTGTAAAATAAAATTGATTTTGTAAATGTAAATGAAATGTAATCTAATAATGACAATAATTTTTTCCAGACTTGAAAATGACCCTAGTATTGGTCGAAACGTCGAAATAAAAAAATTATAAATAAAATGTTGGTGGAAAATGGCCTAATTTATAAAAAATAAAACTTCAAGACACCAATTCTAGGAATAATGAACAGTAGAAAAATTTAATATACTGTTTTATCTAAAATATGAATGAATCGTTATCTTTTAAATGAATTATAACATATTTATGTATAAATATGTAATACAATATAATAATTATATTTTAACATGAGTTAAAATATAATAATATTTTTCAATAAATATCTTATGGATCAAATATTAAATTTTTACTTCATTATTACACTAACAATTAAATTAGTATTATGAAACCAAATGCCTGAATTCTAATCCTTGATCATGTAAATTATTTTAGACATTTGCATCTTTATTTTAAAATTTAATATTATTTTCTAACAGTAACTAATTGAATTTTTTCAGTCATTTTTGCCACTGACAATTACAGTCTCAATAATAATATATCTTAGCGATAGCTTACATGACTTAATTTACAAAACGGAATATATCATTTAAAATATATTTCTCCTGTGCAGATCGAACGTGAAAAAGCTGACCTGAGTGTACAAGTCCTCACACTTCAAGAGAGGCTCGAGGAAGCTGAAGGAGGTGCCGAGAGTCAGGTATTATAAAGTTATTATTATAATAATGATAATTATTATTGTTATATTAGTAGTTATTATTATAATGGTATTATTCTGGCAGCAGTGGTATTAGGCATACATTCAACCTCCACTGTTGCCAGATCCCGTTTTGTCATATTGGCTAGGAAGGGAAGAAATAAATAAATGTTATTATTGTTTAAATTTATTACCAAAAATGTCTAAATGTAAAAATGTTTTAGGTTATTTATATTCAAATTATAATAATATATATCTTTATTTAAATATCTATATATTTATTATCACATTAAAAAGTACAGTTATAGTTAATATATACGTTAAATACCGCATTTCCATCAGATTTTTTAAAATTTTCATTTAGGTCAATCAGATTTTTTTTACCTCAGAAAAAATTCAAAAATGTTTTCTGCCCAAATATATACAAAATAATATGTAATATGTAAATACTTGTTTTATGATGTGTTTACTTATTTTATTTTAAACAGTTAAATTTTCTCAAATCACGTTTTGATTTATAAAAATTGTTTCCTTTTTTTTCCCTCAACCTTGGTATTTCAACGAAGAGGAAACCCTGGTTAAATACTATAATATTTGTGATTCAATCATCAATTCAAAAGTGAGATAATAAGCCATTTGGGAAATTAAGCAAACTAATTGTTTTAGCAATGTAACAAATAGAATAGGTGCGTTTTCAAGGAAAATAACCTTATTAGTTTTATCAATTAATTTTTTTTTCCTCATTTTCTTTACGATATAATTTAAACTATTCCTGTTTACTGTTTAATGTTATGCTTACATGAAGAACCCTAATAAGTATTTGGTATTATTTTAATATTCGTAGGCTGTGTTGTAAAATATTTCAAGTGGTATTAATCTTTTGAGCCATAATACTTATATTGGTGAAAAAAAACAATCTTTTTCAAACAACTGTAAATCATGCTAATATTAGATAAGTGAACATTCTGATGGAGTAGGTCATCTAATTTGGTATAGTTATATTTACAACTGGAGATATAACAGTTTATATTTAGTATTGTTCCATTTAAGATATGTTACACTTTTTTTAATCATCTTTAAATGTATGACAAAACTACATAATTTTTTTTTTCAATGTAGCATTAAATTTTACAGTTTGACTATAAAGAAATGTAATATATTTATTTTTTAAGCTAAGTTTTTCATCTTTATATTTAAATATATATATATATATATATATATATATATATTATATATATATAATATAATATATAGAATTATGTTTAAATATTAAACTCAAGCAAATGTTTCAATCATCTCAATTTTCATAAAATTAATAATTCAAATTATTATTACATGTCCTTGTATGTACATACAATGTACTTAACAGATTCATCTTTTGAGAAGTAACACAAATACAGATAATGCAAAATAGTTTATATTCTGCAGGATTATTTTACCAATGTAAACATGGTTAAAATAATAATAGGTTTTTAATAATAAATTAATACTATTAAAACAGCAAGTTTATAAATAACTGGAAAATATTGCAATTAGGGGAAGACAGGAATTTTCTGCAGCTTATAAGGAGGTTTTTGTTAGATGTTAGATGTTTATATGTTAGTGTATTTTTTAAAAGTTTTGCTGAAAATATATGGATAATAGAATTCTGAAGTAATGATAAAGATTCAAACAATGTTATAATTTATTGATATGCAAAATGGAATTTTTAGTTTGAAATTAACAAGAAGAGGGATACCGAGTTACTCAAGTTAAGGAAGCTCCTCGAAGATGTCCATCTGGAGTCAGAAGAAACTGCCCATCTCCTTCGTAAGAAACACCAAGAAGTTGTTGTTGATTACCAAGAACAGCTCGATGCCATTTCAAAAGCCAAGTCAAAGTAAGACCTTGCTTTTTATTTATTTTCATGTTATAACATCAAATGATGTATGTGATTGGGGTTTTGAAAGCATGAGCCATGATTTTGATGAATTTTGGACCTTTTAAATTAAATCTATTTTAGGATGAAGATTAGTGATTGTGTCTATGTCTTATGACTAATTAAATACTAATTTATTAATCTTAAAGTAAACACCAACTATACTTGTGCTCGGAGGGAGAATGGTTAACGTTAGCCCTCTCAAGGTGCGAAACCCTTTTCTAAAACCAAGAAAGGTTATAATTTGTGGTCCTTAATTTGAGCCATTGATGCTATCATCTTCTGTATCATTTCAAGGGCACATCTCCATAAATTGGTGTTCTTCTCGCCTGCTCTTACACATTTGGGAGTGCATGGCTTTACGCACATCTACTAATTATTAGTCTACGTGGAACAGGATGACAAATATGCAAAGAGTATTATTGGATAAATAAAATAAAAACAACTTGCATATTCCAAGCTACAAATCCTTGAGAATGCTTACTTGATTTCCTGAGCACTACGAGACAATTATAGGTTTTAATGATCTTGTGCTACAATCTATTTTTAAGAACCTTTTGTTCTTCTGAACAATGGAGACATTTATGGGATGTCGATAACCATAAATAATCCGAATAGTTTTTAGAAAATATTTTCTAAGGTAGGGAGAAATAAAGCAAACTATAACTATAACTTTAATAAAACAAAATCAATCTGAAGCCACTCTTGTTGTTGGGATTGTTTTGGTAAATAGATGAACAGTATAATTTGTATTATGCCTTGTTTCATGATTTCTTAGCATCAATTCTCAACTCAGACAAATATATTACAGTCACATATTTCATGTTCAGGACTTTTTAGTCAGTGTAAAATATCTTTGATATATTGCAGAAAATATTTATTAAATAAATAATAATAACATGATTTTTAATAAGTTTTACCCCACAAAAATATCTTAAAACATTTTTTTTTTAAATTAATGAAATGAAATTTATGAGAAAAAAGTATCATTTTTTACCCTAACTTTGAAATGATAGATTAATTTCCTCTACTGTCTTACTTATTAAGAAAATGTTAATTCATTAACGTGAAATTTTGTTAGTACTATGGAATAGATGAATTAATTTCAAAAATATGCATTTCATGTGATATATCAGTTCATATAAAATGTGTTAAATAATATTTGAACACATTTTTTTTAATTTTTGCTTATACTAACAAAAGAAATCTTTAAAAAATAAACAAAAGATAGTGTGTCCAAATATTCTTTTTTTCTGATACATTTTATCAATAAAAATTTGAAAAGAATCAGTCAGATTTAATTTAGCTTGGGGTTGAGCTATGGGGCTCCACCAAGCCTTCAAATTCCTCTCGCATACAGTCCTTGCAATCCAAAATCCTTCGTAAAATCCTCAATGCTCCTTACTTTGTTACAAATAAAATTATCCATAATGACCTTAATGTTCCTTATGTATCAGATTTGGCCCAATCCAGATATCTGTCCTTCTATAATAAACTTCATAACCATCCCAACCCTCTTGTCTCTAACCTTGCTTCCTATTCGATTCCTGATAACCCTCCGAGGCGTCTGAAAAGAAGATGGCCACGTGATCTTCTAATATAGACATATTATTAGAGTGCTACCAATGGGTAGTTTCTCAACATGTGTTCCATGTCTTTATACCAATGTGCAAATTTACTTGATGTATTTTTTTGTATACAGTTGTAAATGTCATTTAAAATAAATAAAAAAAAAAAAAAAAAATTAGCTTAGTAGTTATTACTCCTTTTTGTATGTAAATTGTGGTTTACCTAGAAAAATAATAATTATATTAACTTCTAATACTTAACATTTATAATACTTAAGAAAAATTCCAATTAAACATGTTTTATTTAAAGGTGCATGTGTCATTGTCAAGAAATGGTTAATACCCCAGTTAGTCAAACTGAACCTCTTTTAGTGCCAAGAATTGTGTAACTGAACCGCCAGTTCTATTTTTGGCGACTGAGGTATGCCAAGCTTAAACCCCTTCCCCATCTCCATATTTGTATTTGAGCTGATTTTTTCACCCAATCGTGGTATATCAATACTTCAGATAATAATATAAAAATAAACTAAATGACAAATATAACCATTTAGAGGAATAAATAAGGAATACAATTATTAACAGATCACTGGTAAACAATATTTTCATACATGTAAATCTGAAACCGGAACAAATACTCTTTATGTATGCGCTTGTTTAATACCAAATTGTTATTGGATAAATTTAGGATAAAATATTTTATACAAACTATGTTTAAAAAAAATGAATAAAAGAGTTAACACCTATGGAAAAAAACAAAACAGTTTAAACAAGAACCATTAAAGAGAAATAGATTTATACTTGTCAAAAACTAATCATTAAGGTAATTTTATATTAATATTGTTTTTAAATACAAAAAAAAAAACATTTTTTAAAAATAATATAGTCAAATAATAATTTACAGAAAAGAAATCAAAGCTATTAAAATAAGGGCTGTTCTTATAAAATAGTTAATAACAATAGTATATTTGATTTTTCCTTTAATTAACAACCATAAGGTCATCATTGAACTAATTTTAAAAATTAATTTGTAAAGAAAAAAGTTATGTTTGGCTTTTTCTTCTTTTATTTTAAAAATAAAAACATATAAATGTAATATATTTATTTTATTAATGCTACAATATTATGTTGTTATTAGTTATAATTTTTATATTTTGAATATGTTGGTAATTTAAATTACAAATTTTGGTTTTGCGTTGATGAATGACAAAGGTTAATAATTATTTTATAAATTTACTGAAATATTTCTTGACTTAAAAATAGGCAAAAGGAAATGTTGTCATGAGATTTTTTTTAATGGAAATTAAATAAATTATGATTACTAAATGTATTTAAATATTTCCTCTTTTAGAAGATAAGTAACTAAAATTTATATTTACTTCCAATAAGATAGCAGGTCGTTCTATTCTACATTTCAGCCTATTTATTTCTTTTTTTATGTAACTTTTTCCTTAAATTACCATTAAAGAATAATTTCTCCAAATATTTTTAACAATTGAGTTTGTTTCTGTATAGTATTTCCATTTTTAGTTTTTAGTAATAATCTATTTTTTAATCGATTTATTTTTTGTTGAAGTTAAATTAATAGTTTTATTATGTTTCTAGGGCTGAAAAGGAAAAGGCCAAGTTCCAACAAGAAGTTTACGAACTTCTCTCCCAAGTTGAATCGGCCAACAAGGAGAAGGCACGTAATTTATATCAATGAAGTTTTATTTTAATTCATTTTTTTTTTACAAATGACTAAATTTAAATTAAAATATTGTGAGTCATTTGCTTTGAAGAACAATTGGGATTCTAATGAATACATATTAAAATAATCATTTGTTGAAAATTGTATTTGGAATTATTAACTTTCCTTTTACCTTGATCTAATTTTATTAAAGTATCATTTTTTTTTACTTATATCATAGTATTCTTGCTTGCAGAATAAAATTATGTTGAATTTGTAATATAAGAATCAAAATAATAGAATGTTTCATGTTATTTATAAAATAAGTTTAGGTGGTTGTTAAATAACGATGTAACCACAATTTTTATATAAAAGAAAAAATGAAATACAGTGGATAGTTTTTAAAGAGATGAATTTCTATTTCTTTTATAACCTATCTCATATTAATGATAAAAATGATTTATGTATTTATTTTTTGGCATTATTTATTACTAAAATAAATCTTTTATGTATGGTCTTAATTATCTAATTCATTTTATTAAAAATAAAAATTAGACAAAATATGAATGAGAAAGTTATAAGTTTCTATATAAGTCATCAAAATTAATAAATCTGTTTCTCAAAAATATCAAGAATCATAGGATCAAAACAATGGTAGCTTTGTGAACAGTTCAATTGAAATTATTGTAAATTTGAATCGCTGATTTTTTTTTAACTAAATATGTTTTTAGACTGTAAATGTTTCAAATCATTTGCAATTATCATCATTTCAAAACATACTAAGTAAATTATTGATCAGCAATCCAAATTTAAAAACATTTCAATTGAGGTGTTTACAATACTGCCATTTTTGATTGGTCTCTTTATTCTTGCCTGAAATTAATAATTTATACTTCATTTAATTATTACAGAAAATGATAACAAAAGTTTTATTTTACAGATCATTAGCATTAAACATTCAGAAAAATTGGAAATCACCATCCATGAACTTAATGTGCGCATTGAAGAACTTAACCGCACCATTGTAGACATTACATCTCACAAGACTCGTTTACATCAGGTATATTAATTTGAAGCTTGACAAAAGCATTCATAACATATTAAATGTCAACATACAAATTAAAAAACTTTTTTTCAGGAAAATATTGAATTGACCAAAGAAGTCCAGGACTTGAAGGTCAATATTGAGAATGTTACTTACCTAAGAAGCCAGGTAGCATCTCAATTAGAGGACGCTCGCCGTCGCCTTGAAGAAGACGAAAGGGTAAGAAAATATTTGTAAAACACTATTTCTATAAAATTATTTGGGGAGCGAGGTAGCTCAGTGGTATAGGCACTGATCTCCAAAGCTCAAGATCACAGGTTCGAGTCCGGCTGATGGCAGATAAACTATTTATTCTGTTTTGTTGGCTGTGGATCGACCATGAAATTGGGAGACCCTCCTGGTACATTCCCAGCCTCTATAAAGTGGGTACTCTTAATTAATTAAGAGGAAAAACCTGGTGATCGAGTGTGATCTTGGTCAAATCACCTCCTTGCACAACCGTTGACCAAGAAACAGTACTTTCCCTAAATAGTACTGAACCCAAGGACCTTCATGGATTGTATTGTTACAGGTTTTTTTTTTTTTTTATAAAATTATTTACTGAAGTATGTTGTTTCCAGTTTGCCTTATTAATTGAAGAGATTTATATTATTTTTAATGGAATTATGTCAGTAATTATTTATGTAATCAGTTTTCTTGATCCCTTTTCATTATATTTTATTTTACATGAGGAAGAGAATCGAATAATGAAAGTTTTTTTGTCTATTTATTTATTTGTTTGACTTTTTATTTATATATTTTTTTTAATACTTAAAATTAAATGAGGAGTTAGACGGGCGGTGCAGTCAAATAAATATTATATATTAAAATAGTATTTTATTGTTTACCCAGACGTTTCGATCCACTTTGTAGGCTTCATCAGGAATACAAAAGATTACAGGAATACAAAAATATAAAAGGTATACAGTAAAAATTATTTATTTGACCCCTCTCCCCCCCTGACCAAGTTCTTCTCATATTATAATTTGAAGATGAAGTTTTATTTTTCAATGTATGCAATTGTTATCTATTTATTTATTTTTTTAATTGAATTTCTGTGGTCGCTTCAGCTGACAATTTTTCAAAAACGGTTTGTGTATTTTTATATATATTATTTTGGTTATATTTAAATAAAATACACAAAATAAATACATTTATGCAAATATATAGCTTTTTGAACAGAAATTTAGTAATGAATTAAACCAGAAATGTCTATTTTCTATAGAGGAGATCGTCCCTGGAGGCTAGCCTTCACCAGGTTGAGGTTGAACTCGAATCCGTAAGAGTTCAGCTGGAGGAGGAAGCTGAAGCCAGGCTAGAACTCGAGAGACAACTTGTCAAGGTTAACAGCGATGCTGCTACTTGGAAGTGCAAATATGAGACTGAAGCTTCAGCTCGTATTGAAGAAGTTGAGGAAATCAGGTAATTTTTTTTTTAATATCCACACTGTAATACGTTGTGCAATGTAAAAATGAAAAAGATAAAAGTTTTACCACCCATTGTAGTAGGATATGGGTATTTGAATGTATAAGAACGTCATAGGCAAATAGAAATATGCTTAATATCTTCACCTTTTGCTGAAAGTATTAGATTTCATAAAAAAAAGCCTATTTAATTATATGAACTAATATCATTATTATTGATGCTTATTAAACTTATGCGTTGGCAAAAATAAATTATTAATGGTATGTTTTTAGTCCTTTTCTGTTAGTTGTTTCCATTTAGTTTGTTTAAATAAAAATTATAGGTCAATCCCAAATAATTTTGCCCAAAAGTGTACGACTAACATGACCAGATGTTACACCTCGGCAGAACAGTCCCACTTTTCAGCAATGTCTCTGGTATTCTCAGTATTTGCCAGAGGACACATAAATGTCCAACTTTGGATGATATTCTGGAACCTTAATTATTTTTTCTCTGGTGTACTGCCCTTCTCCAACTATTAAGCATATATAACAAAAAAAAAAAAAAAAAACACTGCAAATTATTATAACATGTTATATTATTCCTAATAGTTTTAGTATGTTTCAAAAATAGTTGATATAATTGATACAACTTCCTTAACCCTCTTGTGTGCTAAGTCCAATAAAGAACATTGTTTGTGACATCTGAGGTGCTACAAATATCGGTCCTCTTAATTAATTTTTATGATATTTTTTTTAAATTCTGTAAACAATGTAAAATAATTTTTTATTTTATATCACAAATAATATTTCTAACTTATCTTCCCTTCTTCCTCTCTTTAAAATAGGAATGTCTCGTTTCAGATCTGGTCATGTTATGTACGATCCATATTACTGTCAGAAAAAATGTAAATGTTTCTTTTTTAAAATTTTATATCTTCTTATTAGACATTTCAGCCCACTTTATGAGTCATCCTGCTCCAGGATTGATTATAATTATTTCTTATTTCTCTTCTGATTCTGATATTTACTTATGCTCCAGTTTACTAAAACAATAAAGTAAGATGAGAAGGAGTTAGTCGAGGGTGCGGCCAAATAAATAAAAAAAATTAAAATATATAATTTTTTTTAATATTTGCCTTGGCAAAAATTAAAATAATTTATATATTTTAATTTTTTTTATTTATTTGACCGCACCCTCGACTAACTCCTTCTCATATTATATTAACGGTCAACCATCTCTACATCATAATAAAGTAAGATGTACTTGTATCATTTTAATCTAAGTTGTAAATAAAAACATTGTTATATTCACAATATTATTCTATTCATTACAGGAAGAAGTACACTGTCCGTCTTCAAGAACAAGAAGAGCATATTGAAACCCTCATTGTCAAGATCAACAATTTGGAGAAACAGAAATCCCGCCTTCAGAGTGAAGTTGAGGTCTTGATCATCGATCTTGAAAAGGTAAAGGAAAAGAAGCTTTGTTAAATTTTATTTATCATAGCAAGAATTCTTCATTTAAAAAATAAACTACTGGCTCAATTGAAATTATTAACAACTTTTTTCAGGCCAACAATACTGCAAGGGAACTGCAAAAGCGTTCTGAACAGCTTGAGAAAATCAACATTGAGCTGAAGAGTCGTCTCGATGAAACAACTATCGCCTTGGATCAGTCTCAGAGGGATCTCCGCAACAGAACTCAAGAACTCCAACGTCTCAACCATGAGCTTGAGAAGACCAGAGAGCAGAAGGACTCTTTGGCCAGAGAGAACAAGAAACTTGGAGGTATTAATCACAAATATATTGATAAGAAAAACTGGAATAATGATTAATTCAAGTTAAACAAGTCATACTCTTACAGACAGTGATTGCAATATTGATAATAAAATACAAAGTAGATAAATGTGTCCACCAATTATTCAGATGGTTATTATTAAGGTACATGGCTTATTCTGAATGAAATCTGAATTCAATAAAAGTATCCAAACCAATTGGTGTCTCGTGCCACAGATACCCATCCCTCCTAATGTGGATGGCCAATGCCCTGTTTCCAAGAAATTTTATTGCTTTCCTCTTCATAAAAATAGAGTAAGCGAAAGTAGAATTACAAAAAATTTAGATCTAATGCAACTACACTTGGTTTGGAAATTCTTCCAAATGGAAAACTCCCAAAACACATGATTTTCACCAAAATTTATAGCTCCATTAAAATTTGCCACCTCCGAAATTCAAAACCCTATAAAAACTTGCCTCCTCAAAAATTTGTTGTGTACATGAAAATGATAATTTTATTTTAACTCTATAGTTCTATAACCTAACTTTATAATTCAACAATTCAGTCCTGTCCATTACCACTGCAAGCAGATAACTGTGTATTTAAAAAATGTTATGATTCTACTTTATTTGTGCTTTATTATTTCATAATTACAATCATTCATTTCCTAATATACTAATTAGTTTAGTTAATATACTAATTTTGAATAAAAATATATTGAAATTTATAGATGACCTTCATGACGCCAAGAACACAATGGGTGAAATGAATCGTCGTCTTCATGAGATGGAACTTGAGATCAGACGCCTGGAGAACGAAAGAGATGAACTGGCTGCTGCCTACCGTGAAGCTGAAGCTGTAAGTAACACTTTAACATATATTAATATTAAATTTGTATTAAGACGGGATGCTTAAAAAACAATAGATTTTTTATTTTCATATTTTAAATTGATTAGTCAGAAAATATTTTTCTTTTTAATCAGCACTTATTATTATTCATATAAATTAATTTTATTGTTAATTCTTCTTGGAAAAAATAACATGAAAACACATAGAAATAATTATAGATGTTAATTTTTTTTATCTTTCCATCTATCCCTCAAAAGCAAACAATTCTTTATAAAAATTTAATATTTCAATCAACGCACCTTAGCAATTATAGTTTTAGTAAAATTAACTAATTTTAAACTTTAATAAATAAGTTATTGATGCTAGCCAAAGTAGACAATATCAACTATCCTTCTTGACATGAAGAATATTCAAAAAATTTAAAATGTTAATTTTGATTGTGTAGAGGGCTAACAAAAGTGGTGTCATATCAGTCATCAGTTATAATATCTAGATGGTTGATATCTTATTGTTTTAGCTGTAGTTTGATGTGTCATATTATAATTTAATATATTAATATATTCTTAGATTTTCCTGGAAAGAAATTAAGTTTGTCATTAAAATATTATTAAAATTGATTTTTTTAAATTTAGGCTTGAGAAACAATCATTTTCAAGGTAAAAATAAAAAATATATACAGTCAAACCTGTGTATATCAAACTTTCATTTATCAAAAATCTCTATATCTTAAATTTTTAGACTAACTTAGAATTTTTATTAAAAAACAAAATATTCTGTACCAAATAAAACTTTCATATATTGAATAAAATTTCAGATTAAAAAAAAAATGTATAAAATGTTACTTTTTATCAAATAGAGATCTTAGTTTACTTACTTGAGAATCGATAATAATTAAATTTAAAAAAAAAATTGTTTTACAAAGTAATGGAAATTAGAAAAAGACCTTGCTTAAGAAGCTATTCAGTACTTATGAGAGTGAAATTTTGATTTTCAATTCAATTTAACCTTGTCTTTCTTCTTGCCAACCTGGCTTGAACGAAAAAACTCAAATGAAAATATCACAAAAATATACGATGCTATGACAATTGTAGAATTGACAATTAAGATATACTTAAAAAAAAAAAAAAAATATATATATATATATATATATATATATATATATATATATATATATATATATATATACACATATATACTTCATAAAATAATATATGAGAATAATTGAGTGGCCTTACATCAAAAACTGATATTTTTTAAAGACATCTGTCACTTTTGAAATGTTGAGAAAAAGCCAATTTTTGTTTCGTAGGTTCAACTCAAACTGTTTCTGATGATTAAACTTGAAAATTTAAAACTAAAATCATTAGAAACAGTTTGAGTTGAATCTATAAAACGATAATTGGCTTTTTCTGCATTTTCTGAAAATGACATATGTCCATCCTTGATATGAGGCTACTCAATTGATATCATTTTTTAAAACTAATAATATAAAAGATATTATGATATATGAGATAAAAGATCTCAAGAGAAAAAAGAATTAAAATCTGTAGCCATATTTAGACGTTTCTTAAAATAGATTTAACTTAATGCTTGTTAATTGCCAACACATCTAATGAAGTGTTTTAGTGCCAACTCAGTTCTGACCCAATTTAGTTTTTTTGCTCTCTCTCTTTTTTAAAGCATGCTATTATTTTATTGCAGGGCCGTAAAGCAGAAGAACAAAGGTCACAGAGACTGTCCGCTGAATTCGGTCAGTTCAGACACGAGGCCGAGAAGAGGATCTCAGAGAAAGAAGAAGAAATTGAGATCATTCGGTAAGTTAATATTTTATCCATAATTTTGCCTTTATTACTAAATATTACTTTTTATCACAAGAGTTTTATATTTTGAATATAAAGTTGCTTATTTCAATTTTGTAATAAATCGTAGTTTATATATTTAATTGTAATGTAAATAAATCTTTATAAAAATTAGCTAAATGAATAAAAAGAGACAATTTCAAATGTCTTTTATAATGGATAATTATAAAAGTCTTTTATAATCTTATGCAAGGAATAACAATAACCAAAAGTTAATACTTTTATATGAGCCTTTCAGTTGATAGAATGACTAACTCAGATTTCAACATTTTAGAGTAAAATCATTTTAGTAATATTTCTAGTTGGAAAACTTATATCTGTAAAAACAGTGAATAAGTTGATTCCAGAGTAGGTGATTACAGTGTTGAAATATAAAACTGTGAATAAAGGTATACACTTTCTTACCAGAAATATTACTATAATTAATAATCAAAAATGTGGAAATTAGAGTTAGCCTTTACATCAACTGAAAGGCTCATACATTTATTGAAATTTATAATTTATTTTATTTGAATAAGATAAATCATTGATTTTTGTTTTTCCAAGCCGTTGAAAAATATCATAGCTGACAAGGAAATAAAAAATAAGAATCTGTACTTAGAATAATTAATTTTACTACTTTTAAAAAAATAATTATTTAGATTTAAAATTAACAAAAAGTGTCATCTAGTTTAGGTACTTAATGATATAATCTTAGAATTATTATCTCTTTAAGACTATTTTTCTGAAAAGTCAACTGTTTTAAAATGATGATATAAAATACTTTCCAAAAATGTATTTCCTTTCACACCCCAAATGTAGAGAGGAAATTAAAAATACTTGTTTTTCAAAAGATTAATTCATAAAATTAGATTACATCTGTTCATGTCTAATTAGCATTTTCCAAAAAAATTGACATTTCATGATACATCTTTATTTTTTCTTTCAAAACTAACAATCATGCCCCTAAAATCAGTTAAGGTATCCCTAAAAAATAAATCTTGATTATATATTAAAAAATTATTATATAAAATAAGCTAACAATAAAGTTTAGTAATCCAGCAAGAAGTTAATTTTACCTTAAATGTGACAGACTCCAATTTAGTATAAAACAATTTAAATTTGATTTTTTTTTAAACAACAGTATATTTTCTCATATTATTCATCTATAGGAGTAGAAGTGTTCTCAAAGATAAGAAAAACACAAAAGTAAATATATTTTTTATATATAACTCCTATTCAATAAGAAATTTGTAGTAAATTGTGTGTATTACTTTGATTATATAAGTATAATCATATTTTTAATTTCAATAAATTTGTAGTTATTTATTTCAATCTCGTATGCTATTTATGACGGGCTAGTAATAAACACATTAATATAACAGTCAATCGTATTTAAATAGATACCGTCTTTAAATAAACTGCACTGGACCAGTTGCTTACTGATTCAAAATTATATTTAGAATAGTTGACAATGGTTATGATATATGATTTACAGTGAAGGATCTAAATATAGTCAATTGTTTGGTCATTGAATGTGTCAACACACATATTTCTAATTACCCAACAGAGCAAAGTTTTTAATAATAAATTACGAAAAAGTAACTTCAAATTAAGTATTTTTTCTGATGAAAATAATAAATTTGCATATGATAAATTTAAAAATATTATATATGCATATTATATATTTAACCATCAAATTAGGCAATGTAAAACACTGATTTTTATAGATCTGACAGTATGATTTTCTACTCTTTGGAAAAACCAAAATCAATGATTCTTCTTATAAGAATAAAATGATATTATAAATAGCAATTACTACAAAAAAAAGTATATAGTTTAGATTATATTTATTCTTTGCATAAGATAATTTAGTTATACATTATAAAAGACATTTGAAATTAACTTCCTTAATGCATTTATCAAATTTTTATAGTTTTTATAAAGGTTTATATTCAATTAAATATATAAATTATGTTTTATTAAAAAATGAAATAAGCTAATCAACAAACAATTTTTTTTTTTACAACTTTGAACAAAGATAATGTCAACAAACTCTTAACAAAGTTATCTATATTACTATTTAATTTGTCTTTTATAAAATAAAATAAAATCTACCTTAGCATAAAACAAAAATATTTATCTAAACATAAACAAAGTCTGATTAATAGTGACATATTGGTCTTCTTCCAAAAAAAAAAAAAAAACTAAATAAATAATGATAATAATAATATTAATAGACAACGAGAAATTAAAACAATTAATTTTTGTTATCTGCTTCGTGATTTATAGAGTTCTATCTTAGAACATTGCTATACTTTCTTTATATTAAAAATAAATATTGACAGTTTTTGTCATGAAATATAACTACTGTTATTGATATTTATGAATATTGATGATTAAAACTTAATTAATTTTCATTGCATCTAATTAAACACGCAACAATTTAGTTCAATTGACAATTTGATGTAAAACATGTTTTGAATTGGGAGTCAGATACTAATTGATCATTTACAAATGCAGGAATATGATTGTAACAATAACATGTAATGTAATGTTTTTCATAGGCTCAATCAATATTTTATCAGTTTTTCTCTATCTGGAAATTGAAAAACTAATCAATAAATAAACTCCTTCCTTCATGTTTGTAGGATATTTCAACTGTATAAATTATCTCATTATTTTTTAGTATAATGACAGACTTATCCTTTCTTCAAGATAAGATCATAATATCAATCTAAAAATAAATTAAAACTCTAAAGACATATAACCGTCAAGACCTTGATTCAGTTGGCTTTCAGCGCACTACTAGGACCCAAGAATCGCGTCTAATTATAGTTCGATTAGAAGCGAGTGGAACAATGACTTAAATATAGGTTCTGGTTACTGTTTGACAGTTTAAGCTCGTGCTCGCTTTGAGGCACACAATTCCTCCATTTCTATTTACATTGTGCCAGTTTATTCTCCTAGATTGAACTGAAAATGGATAGAAAATGTTTTGGGAAAACAGCTCGTGGCTATAAAACACAGCTAATGGGTGAATATTATCATAATATATTTAATGAAAGTGAAAGTGCGAAAATAAAAAAAGTTTCAACCAAAATACACACTGAAAATAGAAAACTTGTAGAAAAAATAGAGCGTGTTTCTTGCGATGAATTGTTGAGACCTTTGGAAGATATCCGCTCTGGTCTTATCGGATTAGAATATAAAAATACAGCTACTCTTATGGATCAAAGGTGATAGGACATAAGTTTATAAAATATTTTTTTTTTTCTTTGAATTGTGATTGTTAATGTTGAATACTGAATGTTTTAGCAAGCAGACCAGCATTGAAATCGAGCAACTGAATGCACGTGTTGCTGAGGCCGAGACCAAACTGAAGACTGAGGTCATCCGCATCAAGAAGAAGCTTCAGGTGCACATAACTGAACTTGAGCTCTCACTTGATGTAGCCAACAAGAACAATCTCCAACTCCAGCAGACCATCAAGAAGCAGTCTCTACAGCTGACTGTAAGCTAAGCCAAACAATGTCATCAGCTGTTGAAACAAAAATATTGTTTGTATTAATTAATTTGGTTTTCTTACCAGGAATTGCAAGCTCATTACGATGAGACTCAAAGACAGCTGGCTGTGACTATGGATCAACTGGCTATTTCATCTCGTAAATTACAGTCTTTGACTGCTGAGATTGAAGAAATCAGAGGAAACTATGAATCTGTAAGTAATATTTATTTATTTTATACAATAAAGTCTAGTTTATTTTCGGTGAAATGAAAATCTAAAAATATGAATTTAATCATTAAGGTAAACCTTACTATTTGTTAAAATTAACATTGATTCACTATTTCATATACAATTACTAATAAAAATTCTCATAATTTTAAAAATATTTTTCAATTATCTGTAACAGGCTCTTAGAGCTAAACGATCTGCAGAGCAAATGTACGAAGATGCCCAGACCCGTATCAACGAACTCACAACAATCAATGTCAACATCTCAGGCCAGAGAGCTAAACTTGAACAAGAATTGGCATCCATTGCATCTGATTATGAGGAAGTCACGAAGGAACTCAGGGTAAGCTTTGAGATACTATCACAATTAATTTTTCTTCTTTCATTCAATGTCTCGGTACTAAATTTCATGGTTTCTTCAGATCGCTGACGAAAGATACCAAAAGGTACAAGTTGAACTTAAGCATACTGTTGAAATACTTCATGAAGAACAAGAACGTATTGTCAAGATTGAAACAATCAAGAAGAGCTTAGAGATAGAAGTCAAGAATCTGTCTGTAAGATTAGAAGAAGTTGAAGCCAATGCAATTGTCGGAGGAAAACGTATCATCAGTAAACTTGAAGCTAGGGTAAGGCAACTTTTAATTACTTTAATTTTAATGAAATAAGTGTACATAAGAAATTTCAAGTAAATATTATTCCAGATACGCGACATCGAACTTGAACTTGATGAAGAGAAGCGTCGCCATGCTGAAACAGTTAAGATTTTGAGGAAGAAAGAACGTATTGTAAAAGAAATCATGATCCAAACTGAGGAAGATCACAAAAATCTGACTATGCTACAAGAAGCTTTGGAAAAGGCCAACCAGAAAATAACAATCTACAAGAGGCAACTGTCTGAACAGGTAATTATTTTTAATTCTCTATTATAATGTATATTGTATTTTATATAAAATATTTTCGATCAATCGACAGTTCCAGAACTTAAAATAACTAGAGCTTACACAAATTCACTGTTATTCTAATAATAATAAAAAAAAATGTATGTATATGAATAAACTTATACAGATTTTAAGAAATCACATATATTAAAAAAAAAGTATAATAACATGATGTCCAGCTATATTGCATTAAAAAATTCAAGCTTCTTAAGGCTTTGATGAAAGAGTAAGAAATTTTAAAACCAAATCAGAACCACAAAATGTAAATAAACAGTAAGCTTTGGATAGAATGTATGATTCAGAATTGAGAATTAATTATAAAAATTGCATCTCTATTTAATAATGGAAAAATTGTTACCTAACTTTTTTTGCCCTGAGAGCTTAACAAATTAAAAATGATATACAGTATTCAATGTATAATATTATCATAGTATAATAGTGAAAAAAAAAAATATTCCAGGGAGGTAGTAATAAAAAAACTTAAAATAGTGAAAAACTACTTTATTTTAAGCCAGTGTTTCGGCCCAATTATGCAGGCCTTCATCAGGGTTAGAAAGAACAAGATACAAAAGGATATAGAAAATTTAGGGAGTTAAATGATATTTAGATAAAAATTATAATTAGTGTAAGTAGATAGTAAATAAGAGTATTAAGAACATTAAAATATATAAACAGAGTAAATGAAGTTTAACTAAGTAACTAGAAATTAAAATAAAGTAAATAAAATTGATAACAATAAAAATAAAAGAAAAATTTAATGTAAAAAAGAGGATGGATGGTATAGATAATTATGAGTATAATCTGACAAACCTTAAGAAAACATTAAAAGGGAAAGGAATGAATTAAAAAAGTATGAAGGGATGAATTAATAAGTGGATGAAAGAGTAAACAAATAAATAATGGACATAAAAGGGGTGTGAAGAAAGGAAAAAGAGTGATAATAAAGGCTCAAGGTTATGTGTGAAACTGCCGTAATTAGAATAGACAATTGGGTAATTAGCTGATGTTGTTGGGGGTGGAAGGTAGTAATAGAAAATTATGAAAAAACAAGCACAAAGAATATTACAAAAAGAGTTCTAGCCTTGATGAAGACACGTATAGTTTGATTGAAACGATGATAAAAGTCGAAACTTAAAATAAAATAGTTTTTCACTATTACAAGTTTTTTTTAGATCCTCACCCCGGACCATATCTTTCCTCAATAAAAATGATATACTATCAAATAACACTCATTTAAGAGTAAATGAGACAGAACATGGAATGAGTATGTGTTAGTAGCGTTTTCGTAATCACAGATGAGAATGGCAATAAATACATCAATCCTCTCCTTAATATTTTAATACACTTGTAGCCAAGTTCTAATGAAAAAATGGAATTATTAGATTAGAAACTGAAAACTCCCAATCAATGGATGGCTGTGTTTCAAGCATGATTTTCAATATGAAAATTTTCTGATATTCAAGACCATTGTTCTCAATACATAATTAGTTTTTACATTTTTTAATTTATTTTATTTTACGTTTGATATATTCAAACGATCAATATAAATTATTAAAATTTTTTTTTTAATTTGTAGGAAGGAGTATCCCAGCAGAGCGTAACAAGAGTACGAAGGTTCCAGAGGGAGCTGGAAGCTGCAGAAGACAGGGCCGAGACTGCTGAGAGCAATCTGTCGCTCATTCGCGCCAAGCACCGCACGTTTGTCACCACTTCGACTGTACCTGGTTCACAAGTGTACCTAGTACAGGAAACTCGTACAACTTCCGAAAGCTATTAAACGGCTTACCATATCTCCAAAAAATATTTCAGATCGGCTAAATAACAACTTGTCCAATTGAGAGACTTTTAGAGATTAGTGTTAAACACTAAGTTGATACTGTGCATTATTTAATTGTTCTGGTTTATTATTCCATGTTTTAAAAGTGTTGTAAATCAGTAAGTCTGTTTAAGCAATAAACCTTCATCAAGGAGATGTGGACAAACATTGTCATATTTTTTTATTGAACATTACCATTATTTATTTATTTTGCTTTCATTTTGATAGCCTTTCCTTTAAATAATCGAAGAAGCATTTAAACGAAAAGCTTATCAGGTCCATATTTTTTTTTTTTTTTTTTTTATTTACAATGCTTAAGTGTCTATACTGAATATTGAGGTTAATATGAAAAATAGAAAGTAATATTATTGTTTTATGTTTATGTAATATTTCGACACCTGTAACAAGTAGATAACTTTTACAATAATAAAATATAATTTTTCCTAATAAAATCAATTGTTTCTTTTGATGGTGAATCAAAATCAATCTCTTTACTGAAAACTTACTTTTATTAATAACTGATGTAATGAATTGATTAGTTTATAACATTTTTAAGTACTATTGTCATCCAAAGTATTATTATAAGTTGTGCATATCCTTTAAGGTTGTATATTTAAATATCTTCAGAACCTTTGAGAGCAAAACTATTTTGAATTTTGAATAAAGCTCAATATTTAACTTGATGAAACATCTATTCTCAAAAAAATATCATGAAGAAGTGAAGCAAGAAATTTCGAAGATATTTGTTATAATTCTAACCATCAAGATCAATAAATGGCGAAGTGCGCACATCACACAACTTTCACTTACCACCCTAATGTTAGCAGAAATAAGTAAACGAAAGTAAAAATTATAAATACTATATTGATTTATATTTCATTGTGGGTATTTTTATTTGTATAAGTACCCTTATATATACAAATTTTAATATTTATATCTATACAATTAAATATTAAATAATACCAACGATAGCATTTATGATAACTGCATTTGTATATTTACATAATATTGTCGGAGTCCTAATTATATTAAGCTCATGTTACGTACGGAAGCGTGTTTTAATCTTTCGGGCGAGCTCAGATAGGCTCATATTCCTTTCGTTTCTCAATTACAACCATTCTCCATTACGATCTCTTATTTCTCCTTTAGTTAATTATCAAATTCTTTCATATTTTACATTTAACTATCATTTATATTAGAGATGAAAATGAAATGGTGAATATTGTTTCAAATTAAAGGTACTTTAGGGAAAGCTAATATTGAAAATTAGCAATTTAAGCTCAGTTAGAGAACATCAATCAGAATAAAACCTAATTTTATTTAAAACAGCTTAATTTTACACTGATATAATGAATTTGATCAAAATTGTTAGAGCCGTTATTGCGAAAATCGTAAAAATGTGTTTAGTCCAAGATGTAAAGTGCCACTTCCAGTTAGCCAATTTTGACGAAAAAGTTGCTGCAACATCCCAAGCATATAAAAACCTTAAATATGCAATTTAATTTTTGTACGACTTTTCATTTTTAAACTAGATTGTTAACACACACACACACAGACCATTTTGCGGGACTTGGTTAATTTGACTCAGGGTACCTCAAAACATGTATTTCCGTTGAAAACTCAGATTCGAAAATTTTCACGATCGCAGTACTTTCCCATACTATATATTTCATATATAGGTAAGTGAAAGTAAAAACCAAGGAATATTGTCATCAAATGTAATTCCTTAAATAATTATTTTATAGTTCTATAAAATATAGAAATAAATAAAGTATTTCTATGGTACCTACCATCCTACCCTTAAAATAAATATGCTCTAAAATAAACATAACTACTACTTCATTATGTAATCGGAAAACCTTTAGACTTTTAGCTGTCTTTTTTGTTTTCTTAATATCAAGTTTGCCTTTATTGATATCAACCAACAAAATATAACATGACCACTTCCTATCTTTAGTTATTCTAACCTTAAAGAAAATATTTTGACTTTTAATCATAAAGTTCAAACACGAAATGTCTCCTTTCTTAGAAGGTTTAAACTTTAAAAAGTTCTAAAGATTGTCTGAATTTGGTATTTAGAATATAAATATCATTGATTTGCAATAGCAGTTATTTTCTTCAAATCAGTTCCTACTATTTTCTAAAAATCAGCTGATTTCAAGGATATAGCAAATTAAGCTACAATATTTTAACATATAACATGAAAAATCGCTTTGTAGCACAAAGCCAATGTTAAGTTGGATCAGACACTTCCTGAAATATTAAATGTGTGTTCATCGTTCAATATACAAAACAGGAACATAAAATAATACAGGAAAAACAGCTTAATAGGACAAATTCTCTCCAATTCATCCTTTTAAAAAGCTATAAAAGGACCAAATTAGTGATATGCAATTATTTTATCTCATTATGTTATCACTAAAAACAAATCTGACTTCACATATATCTTCTTTGAAAAAACATCTAGTAAAGTAAAAGTTAATAACATTTACATTCCTGTCTTATTTGCTACGGAACAGAGCTGGGTAGTATTCCAAATGAAATATTTTAAAATGCAAAATATAATATACTTTTGTACTTTAAGAAGTAAAATATAATTACATAGTTTGTAACTATGTTCTTTTGAAAAAAAAAAAAAAAAAATGGACTGAAAAATAGCTGTTTTTGGTGGAGCGAACAAGAAACTATGAAATGACAGGCTTGAGAACTGCTCTATGAAACAGAAAATTGTTTCTGTTAAGTTGGAACTATATTTTTGGAGTAATGTTAAATATATATGGTCAAGTTCTGCTGTTTTATAGTATTAATATATTTTTCTAAAATAAAAAAAAAGGCTATTTTGTTTTCTTTTAAATAAATTACCAAATTGAGCAGGGTTTTTTTCAGTACTCTCCTACACTACAGAAATATTTATTATTTAAAACACAGAATAATTTTAATACGTTAACTTGAAATAATTTTCTTTTATAAAAAATTTAAATACACTTTATTTTTATATAATTGCCTGCAAATACGCAAATTTGCCGTAAACAATTTTTTGGCTAACTCAAGTCAATTATATAGTTGAAATTTTTAAAAATTAAATTTGTTAATTAATTTAATTAAAATTAAATTCATGTAACTATTATGATGAAGCAATATTTAAAATATATATGTGTATATAAAGCCCATTATTTCTCAATTTTTATTTTCAATCGAAAGCATGAGGTTTCTAAGTGTTCCTTAATAATATGAACATCTAGTTGAAAATAAGGAAACAACCAGATGTCACTTGTGATTGTCACAACAAAACCATGCGAAGTTAATAACTAATAGTTTAGTAGTTTAAAGTTTTAATTAATACAATATACAATTTATAATTATTTCTGGGTAAGTAAATAAGAGTGCAGCATTGAAGAAAACAAATTTATTTTTAAAAACCAATTAGGTTAAAGTATAATTTATATCATATATATTTTTCTAAAATCATTATTACATATAAAATCATAACTAACAACAATATTAGAGATCCTGTGATATAAAAAACGTGAGCAGCAAAATAATTTTAGTTAACAAGCTAGGATTATGCAATTTGTTTTTAAATATAATCAACATTTACATAAAGTAAAAAAATATCAAAAATATAATTAATAAAGTTCAATAAATAATTACGAACCACAACCAAACGCAATCAGAACCACTTTGAATACATTAAACTTATTATGTACATGATTGTTAAAATAATCGATTTGAGCGATTCGATAAAAGTCTTAAAACAAATGATGCCATTTAGCGAATGACTTAACCAGTAGTAGAGAGCTAATGGATGAAGGTCGAAACAGATCGGCAACCTAATTGTTCATATCAAGAGTGATTAATCACAATCACTCCTGACTGGCGGGAGTATCCTTGACCTTGTCAATCGTGAGCGTATAGGAACTGTACGGCTGCAGCGAATTGAGCGTAATAGAATCTATTATCCACTTTTCTGAAATCCAAACACCATTCGGGTTTGGTTTATTGCCTCCGACTGTAATATCTGCGCTACTAGATGATTTTGATAAGGTGGCGCAACACATTCTGAGTAACTGGTCCAAGTCTTTTTTAGGAGGGTTTGCTGCTTTAGAAACATAAATTCTTCCCAAGTCCTTAAATATATCTACAACGTGTGATGTTCTCAGGCCTCTGCGTTCTCTACAGCATTCCTAAATAAAGAAAAACATAAATTATCTAACCTGTTATTAATTAGGAAAGTAAAATTGATTTGAAACATTTTAGTGTTAATAGAATAGATATCTTATATTCAATATTAGTATTGTCTGTCAGGTAAGGTCAGTATAGTTTCCACACCATTCTCATCAGCTAAACAATTATGTATATATCAAAATATACAGTTTTTCATTAGAGAATAAAATCTTTAGGAGAAGCCGTTTTCGGAAATACAGTAATTCCTCATCATCCATGGGTTTGATATCCATGATTTATGTTCTTCAGCGAATACGAAAATGTGGAATAGTTTTGCACTTGCAAATTGCATCTTTGCGATTAAAAAAATAAATCCTAGTACATACTGAAAAAATATCTATACTTAATAAGTATGCTTTCATTCATAAAATGGATAGAACAAAAAATCCATTGAAAAAATCAATTTTGTGTTTACTAAATGTTAATGAAACCAATATTTTCCATCAGTCAGAACAAAACTAATTTAAGGTGGAATATAAAAATATGAGTAGAGTTTATTCTACTCTGATCTTTAACAAGAAAATTGAGGCCATGAGAAGCTGTTTGAACTTCAAAAGAAACAAACACAATCACAAATAAGACCTTATATATATATGGGTGACCGTTCACCAGGGAAAGTCATGCTACTTGAGATCCCCCTCTCCCGGTATGTGAGGCCCACCAGCCTACTGGAGGAAACTCACATCGCCGGGGCATAGGACTGATGATCCTAGCCCCATGAAATTAAATCAGGAATCGGGATGTGGTCTAGGAGACCACATCTCGCGGTCAAAGATCTTCATGGTCTATGCACCAACCGAAAAAAAAAAAAAAAAAGAAGAAGAAATATACATACAATGTAGTTCAAAATAATAAAATATATACATTTAAAAAAATATCTGCATTCTAGTATTTATTTCGACCTCTATAAAATAAATAAATAAAGAAACAAACACAGAGTTCACAAATTCGAGATTTATCTGAAAAATAATCCTGGCAAATGTTTAGGGATTACAGTACATATAAGGGACAGGATTCAGTAAAATCTATACTGGGCCAAGTTTCAACCCTCCCAATCACTGAAAATTACAAGAAATCTAAGTAAGGGCATAAATGTGATGCCATAAACATGGAATCTATAAAAAAAAAAAAAAAAAAACAGTTTAAATTAACTTTTTTTAATACAGCCTAAAATTTTATAACCTCAAAAAAATTGAATAAACCTAACCTCCCATTCTACATGATCAATGCCATCCGCATTTCACAGCCATTACATTCATAACAGTTATTTATATTAATTTTAATTAGTATATGGAATTCAATGAAATTGATAGTAGGCAATTTCTATACTATTCACGAAATTTCTTCAAAATTTGAGTCAAGTAATTATGAGCAGCTTTCACACTACAGGGCTTGTCAAAAATAATACGTTAGCTGAACCAAAAGTGGAAGTGTTTTTTGAAAGTAGTGGATGGAATATGGTAAAATCAATGAATACTTGATCATCTGTTTACTAGTCCCTGACTTCCTTCAAAATTTAAGCTGAACCGATCGTGCTGTTTTATTGATATAGACCTATCAAGGAAAACATATATGATCATATGTAAAATAAATCAGTTCTTAAATAGGGATTCAGTTTTAACCTGTTGACGTTAGCTTTCCTACAAATTTTATTGTCAACTCGATTACATATAGATGTCCAATACTGAGAAGTTTAACTGTAATTGAATAATGGCAAGAAATAAAGAATACTTACCGTGATGCAAGGAAAGTCTTTAGACAATATATAGTTGTCTTCAGGAACCCATTTCTCTTCTTTCACAGATTCCTCAAACTGAAAAAAAAAATATACATTTTTAATATTTATTTTTTAAATAATAAAATAAATGAAATGAAAATAAAAGACAACTATGAAGATAAAATTTATAAGAAAATTCATTTCTATCTATGACAAATATTAAAATTTGATTTCCAAAAGTTTTTTTGTTTTTTTTAAAACTATTTATTCAAGATATTTACAACTGTATTATAATATAAATACATCAATTAAATGTGTACACAAGAATATAATCACTTGAAAACGCTTGTTGAGAAATTACCCACAGGTAGCACTATAATAATATGTCTACATAAGGAGATCACGAGGCCATCTTCTTTTCAGACGCCTCGGGGGATTATCAGGAATCGAAGATGAACCAAGGTTAGAAACGAGAGGATTCGGATGGTTATGAAGTTTGTTATGGAAGGATAGGTATCTGGATTGGGCCAAATCGGAGACATATGGAACATTAAGGTCATTATGGATTACTTTATTTGTGACAAAGTAAGGAGCATTGAGAATTTTGGATTGTAAGGATTGGATACAAGAGGAATTTGATGGTTTAGTGGAGCCCCATAGCTCAACTCCGTAAGTCCAAATAGGTCTTATTATAGTCATGTATATTAGTCTTTAGTAATTAATAGAAAGTTTAGAGAGTTTGTCTAGTAAGTGTTAGAGTAAGCGGAAACGTCGAGCAGTTTCTTGTCGTTTCAGTCTGGTATGAGGATTCCAAGTGAGAAGTTTGTCCAGATGGAGTCAAGATATCGTATTTGTTCAACAGGGATAAGTGGGGTGTTATTAAAGGATACTATAGGACTGGAAGTCATAGGTTTACTCCAAAAGTTAAGTTTAAAAAATGGTTCTATTCATGAATCAATCTAATCACATGAATTTTTTATAAAAATAAATAGATTTTTTTTTTAATGCAGAAGTAGAAATCGGACTGATTTATGAACAGAAATAATTTGCTATGGTTTCTTAATAATAAATCAGCTGTGCATGCCATGGGAGACAGCCGGGTCAGAACAATCAGCACAATTAATGACTCATGATTTAAATGAAACTTGATATTAATGTTTCTTATTGGCTAAAGATGGTTAGTCACAAATCAGCTGAATTTTTTTTGGAAGAAGGGGAAGGTAATTAAGGAACTAAAGTTGAGTTATTACAATTATATCACTTGAATAAAATAAAGATAAAAAAAATTTTACCCATTTTATATCTAATATCCAACAACCCCTGGCAATGCCCTTGATGAGGTTCAGAGTTCTCCTCGGACCGTTACAGACAACATGAGTAGTTCTCTTGGTTACTTCATTTTCGACAACGCACCTTCCCAATTCCTTCACCATCTCAACATATTTTGGCAGTTCACTAAAAAATAATTATAATAGGCAATGAAAATCTTACTTGTCTTAAATTTATTTAAAAATACAAGATATCACTTAAAAAGTGCTTTAGGTGACACAATAGAAGAGAAAACATCAACAAGGTGAGATTAATATGAAATATAAATTATAAATAATAGCTTATTATAAAAAGCTGAACATTTCTCTCACTTACAGTATGCAGGTCTGATTTTTACTTTCTGAGATATTATAAACCATATATTCCGTAAAACTTGCATCATTTGGTTTTTGACACTATTTTTTTCCTTTTCACTATCTAACACAGTGTCACGTTAAGATACCATATAAAATAATAGCCTATTACAGAAAGGATAAAATGCTGAACACATCGCTAACAGTATGCAGGTCCGATTTTTAGTTTCTGAGATATTTTAATCCATATCCTCAATAAAACTCTTAATCATTTGGTTTTTAATACTATTTTTTTTCCTTTTACCTTCTGTAACACAGCGTCGTGTTAAGACACAATTTTGAATAATAGCTCATATATACAAAGAGGATACGTAGGTCAGATTTTAAGTTTCTGAGATATTTTAATCCATATGAAAAAACACTTCAATTATTCGACTCCAGCCTGCTTTACCCGAGCGTTACACATCGGAGATCTGACGGCTCAATCTAATTTACTCTCCACAAAAAAAGAGCGAAACGTGTCTAAAGAAGTTTTCACTTCAAAAAGAAAATGAAAATGAGAATAAACTTTTGTTTTAAATATAATAATTAAATATAAGAAAAATTAAGTGGAATACCTAATGAGAGAGAGAACTGATTTGTTTGGAGTTTGTGGACTATGATAATATAAAAATGCATAGAAATAATTGTTTTTAATATAAAAATTTAGTAAGTTAATATTCCTTTAATGGATTAAATTGTCACTCATTTAATCACTTAGCAATGATGAGCAGGAACGGAATACGTTTCATCACCTCAACAGACCAATCACGCATTTCTTTTTTTTTTTTTTTAAATGCTCATAATCTCCAGTCATAGAAAAATTACATACTGCCTCATGGGAACACTGTGAGATAGTTTATAAGTAGAATTAATTACTGAGCATCCAGTCGTTTAACGAGAAAGAGACTGACAGGCTCAAGACACTTATATGAGTCGACCATCGTCTAGGCCCAATTCTGTCTCAAATCAAATATGAATCCACCATTGTTAAAGGAAATGAAAACACAAAGAAAATTAGTCAAAGTTATTGGCTATTGATAGTTAATACACTGGTGATGGTACTGAAGGCATAACTAACAATAGGACATTGTTTCGTTTTTCCACAACGTCCTATTGTGGAACTCCACAATAGGACATTATTTCGTGTTTTTCCACAACGTCCTATTGTGGAACTCCACCTTCAATGTCCAAAACCTCCACCTTAAAGAAAATAAGGGCTACAGCAATGAACGTCATCGATAACATAAATTTATGATTATCATCAAGGGAAGACTGTTTTGCATTATTCTATACTGTTTGAACCAGACCTAACCTCTTTGTGTTCAGCTCAATCCTACAATAAACGTGTTCATATTTAATTTACTTCGGAAGAGAGATGTTTATTTTAAAAATTAAGACCATACAACCCAGCTTGAGAAATACAATTACTATTTCATAGAAATGGATAAAATTCACTTTATCTATTATAAAAAACAAACAAAAACTAATGATGGTATTTTCGACAAGGTTAGGAAAGGATGTACGTGGTTAATGTATTTACAAGGGAATACATAGATATTGTTAATCCACAGATATAACAACCAACAAATATAAATATAATGGGGTAGTACCTTATTATAGTACGCAGTAACAAGATTATCTGATCTTGAAAGCGGGGAGCCAGGAGCTTCTAAAACTCTGCTAAATAATATAATAATGACATAAACAGTTACAAGAAAAGAAAAAAAATCAAACAAAAAGGTTAGGGTCATCAGTTCTACGCCCGACAGTACGAGCTTAAATTATAAATTTAAATTTCCATCATTTTTCAATTCAGGTCTTGTGACACTCCACTTATGTCGACGATACTAATCTATCCACAACAATTTAAGAGAGTAACCTAACTGAATATTATATATTAAATTTAACACACTGTTTACCATATTAATATATACTCTCCAATTTATAAAATAGCATCACAGTTATTAATAACATCGATATCAATGAAAAAAAAAAAAATTCAATAGCTGATAATTGTTGACTGTAGAAGACATGTTGAATTGAACTTGTTGGTTGGAGTTTCCAGTTAATGAAAGTGCAAAGTAAAAATAAATAAATTATAGGTCATAAATATTCAGGACGCAGTCATTATAAACTTTTTTATTAGTGCCGACGTTTCAACCCAAATATGTGAGTCATCATCAGGGCGTGGTTCGAGCACTGAAGGTGTTCAAGTACTGGATACTGAGTACTTGAATACCTGACTGAATATTTATCACTCATGAAATAGAACAGTCGATTAACTTCCTTCAATAATATATAAATTATATTTACTTTGTATCGTCGTTTTGAGCTAAAGGTACTATTTAGCTGGCGTGGCCCAGGACCGCGACTGCTTGCGGTTGACCACTGCTTTAGTGGAATAGAAAGGAACCTATTTCGCTGGCACTGCTCGGCAGTCTAGGTATGACATCATATCTAAGCTGCTTCTATCTGACCGCTCCTGAAGCAGTGCAGCTGTTGGCGGTTCGGCAGTTGTAGGTTATGTTATCATATCAGAGCATTGTTTTGATGATAACAGTCATGTTGATACGTTTTATTTCCTATGTTTCTTTGGAGTCTGGCAAAATTATAACAAATATTGTTTAAAACTTAAACAATGCCATAGTAAATTATTTTTTTAAAGTTCAAGTAACAAGATTATTTATTTATTTATTCCACCAACAATATTTTATAGCGGAATACAAATATACCTAAATCCAAGCGATATTAAATAAATTAAAGAATCCAACAAATTTTAACCTCACGTAAATACTAAAATTTACCCATTGAAAAATCGATTAGTATTTTTTAATTAAAGTGGGGATTTACTTTGATAAAACTATAAAACATCGCCTGCTGTGATTTAATTACAAATATATGATATTTATTACTAATCAATTATGTATCAATTACTCTTAATTTTCAAACTAATAATATCTAATATCAGAGGGACTATTGTTAGTACGGCGTTTCCTGCCTTTTTGTTCTTTTTTGGTGGTTCCTCAATTTTTGGTTGTTCATCTAGACAATAGCAAACAATGTCCAAGAAAGGATTTGATGATTTGGATGGTGGGCATCTCATTGAAATATTGATATTCCTTCTCCTTATGAACAACATTTCCTCTTCTTCCTCCTCAAATAAAAAAAGCGGTAGTCAGATATAGGATGTACATTTTTTTTATCTTTGAAGACAAAGCAAAATTTTTGAAGGTTATAACAACCCCAAGGAGCAGTTTCAGCGAAATAGCTACGCAACAGTGGTTGGCAGCGTGTAATTGCGGTCGCTGTCATGGGCCGCGCCAGCAAATACCTTAAGTTTCTGAAATATAATAAATATAATAAATAGTACCTTAAGTTTCTGGCCATCATCAGGGCTGAACAAAGACCAGCTGACACATGAACTTTCATATTGTCTCAATCTTCATATGTTATCTTGTCTTTGTTTAGCACTGAGAAATGCCTGAAACTACAGCCGAAACGTCGGCACAACAGAAATAAAAACAAATATAATTTATTTATTTCTACTGTGTACTTTCATTGACTGAAAATTCCAACGAACTACTCTTTAAAAAAAAAAAAAAATATATATATATATATATAAAACAAAATACTTTGTAAATATCTCAAATAATGTTAATAGTAACAATGATAAAGATGATTACCTGCGGTGAACACTCGTAAACACGATAGACCTCCGTTCCTTGTGCTTCTTATTTCTATGGCTAACATTAGCCTTGTCATCAACAAACGTAGAAGGTGAGCTTCCACAGTCATCATCGTCCGGGTCAGTCTTAATTTTATTATTTCCTCTCTTCCGAGCCAGAGCTAACTTAACAAGCTGCCTACTTGCGGTAGCTTTGGTTCGAGGCCTCTTGACGGGCGTGTTAACTATAGATTCTTGTGTGACCTGACCTTCGTCAAGGGAAACGTATACTTCTTCTGGGTCGTACAACTTTCTCTTTTTTTTAGAAGGTTGAGGAAAAGCCAAGTCGAGTTTAACGATTTCGTCTGGATCTTTAGCTGGTTCATTATTAGCGATACTTTGATCCTGTGTTTTAGAAATTTCCTTTATATTTTCAATTTCATCATCAGAAATCACTAAAATATCTTCCTTTTCTGTAGCTTCAATAACTTTTGGTTTAGAAGGTTTTTTGAAGATTATTTTAGCAGGTGCACTTTTTCGCCTTAGAACAGCACTTTTGATATCTGGCATAGAATCTATACTGGAATCATCTGCAGATACTTCTTTTTCCGTGATTTTGATATGGTTCTCTTCCTCGACTTTCTCGTCAGTGAAGAGATCTTCACATTTATTAAATAACAGTTTCTTAGTACAGAATTTCCGGATACCGTTATTTTCTTTGTCTTCACTGGTGTTGGTAACTTTATCTTTACAAACAGTTGCTGCTTTCTTGGTTGCTCTAAAACACAAATAAGATTTTATTAAAAATAAATCTTGAATTATAATCAAGGTTACACACTTTTATTAATAAGAAATTACACAGCTGAACGTTCTTGTACCCACATGTGGCAGCTGTTTGGGAAAAAAAAATAATACATCAAATTTTCAGAAGGGTAGTATATAGCTTTCAAACCGCACTCAGGTTAAAATTAAAGAAAGAAATACATTAAGAACAAGTATATTTTAAAGGTAATCAAAACTGCATTTTTTCTCTGAAACAACAGCCAACATTTCTTTTTTATTTGAAACAATAATGAATTAGTGAAACAAAAGTACATCTTTTTATATTCTGTTTAGATTTCAGCATCTGTTGTTATTAATAAGATTATTAGTGATCTCACTCAACAAAATAAAACATAAAAAATTAGCTATACATTCACTTAAATAATTAATTAATAAATAAATGAAAAAAGTTGATTTATTTTATGTCCACTTTTTAGAAAAACTAAGGTAACTCAGTTAATTATTTGTCTATTTAGCTATCATTTTTAAGATAATTTTTTAAAATATGTAATCTGATTTTATATTTTAAAATTCACTAGACCATTATTGAAATGATTACTTACTTTTTAAAGAGAAATAATAAAATTTTGATAAAACTTTAAAAATAAATTGATCATTTTTTAAGGAGCCTTCAAGTTCAATATTTTGAGAAGTGATTATATTCTTAAAAAGTATAATTCAAAGATTTTACAATGTTTAAGCAACAGTATATTTAAAAGTTAAATATTAAATGTTGATAATTATAATTAATTTAATTTACATTACACTCCTAAAAACAAAAATATGCAGTTAATATAATATCAGAACATTAAATTTTTAAAAATGTTACTCACAATCTCTTTCCATTTAATGTTGGAACAAATGTTGGGTCATTGTAATTCTGAAACAGTAAAGAAAAATGCTATTAATTCATAATAAACTATGGAAAAAAAATTAATTAAGTTGATATCAACTTTATATAATATTTTAAACAAAAAATACAATAAATAAATTACTTCTAAAATATTTTTTCTGATCTTAGAATTGGGATTGAAAAACTTCAGCCTTCTTTTCTGTAAAAAAAAGAAGTAAAAATAAGTATTAGTGTAAAAAATAAAACATTAATTGATAAGTATATATATATAGATTTAAATATAATAGATTTTCGATAACAAAGGAATTCACCTTAAGAGTTTGAAATGGTAATATATTTTCATATTTCTCCATTCGTCTAGGCGGATGTAGAGCTGGATCTGCCACACCTCGAACTCTTTTACAAGCTTCGATCCATAAAACAGAAACTAAGGGTACACCTTCTTTCTTAGCCTTCAGGTAAGTTGATACCCTACCTTCTTTAAATACCACATGAGTAACCTAAATTTTAATAAATATAATGTACATCAATCAATATATATCGTAAACAATACATAATCTTTAATTATTTACAGTTACTTGTTAGATGACCAGAAGGGTAGTATTATTAGTTTATCTAATGCGAGAAGAAATGAACATTGGTGGTGATTAAAAAAGAACTACTAATAATATACACTATTTTAAATTCTTTTATAACCGCCAAACCATACCGCCTCTTTTCAAAACATAATTTTATTAATAAATAAATATTTTAATGAAAAACAATTAAAATATATTTTTATATGCATTGAGGCTCCTACACACAGAGCACGGTAGGTCTCGGCGATATAATTGTATTACTATCTACTGCATTATAGCAGTCACACGCAGCGTGATAAACCACAGGAATACATCATATCACCAGGAAATATCGCCTTCTGTGTGAAGTATCCTTTAGATATTATGTTTTCTATGTAATATTAAGTTATAGCTTTTGAATGTTCCAAATGAAGTTAAGAAAAGTACCCATTACTGATTCATCCTATAAATTTCACAAGAAATGCAAATTTATTGTATTCATTCATTTATGTTTGATCTTAGTAAATAGTAAGTTTTATTAAACAAAAGGGCAAGTTCCTAAGCCCAATACTGAGGAACGTGCCTAACCAATTCTTCCACAACAGAAACAAAAATTCAAATACGAACTGTATTAAATCTAAATGGATACAATGATAAGCTGACAATATTCACAGTCATATCTCGTCATAATTAATGTTATGTAATGTTAAAAAAACATGATAACATATTTTATTATTGCATTTTCATTAGTAATTTAAGAGCTGGATCCAAAATTAACCTGTGTGATTGAGATAATACTGAATCAAATTGTATTTTGAACAATAATGGCTTGCGTATACAGCCATAATGGTCAAGGGAGTTACATTGAGGGTGCTAATAAACACTAAAATAAAATCTAAATTGGTAAATCATTCCAAACAAAAAAAGAATGTCATAAGACCCAACCTTTTATAGAAACGGGTTACCCTAAATAGTAAAAAAAAGTACAGAACTAACAGAACATCATTATGATTTATAATTTCAATTCCAACAATCACTTAATAAAATGTATTATTGAGTAACTTTCGCATTTATTATAAATCTTACATTTGATAAATAACAAAGTGAACTAAAACATATTAAAGAAACTATCTAACCATAATAAAAATTAAATCATACTTTCTTTGTAAAATTCTTTTCTATCCTAGCTCCTAAAGTAAGCAACTCTTCCTGTACTGAACCAGTCATATCTTCATTAGCACTTCTCACGTCAACATAACAAATTATTCCTGAACAAATAAAATAACGAAAAATATTTAGCTTAAAACCATAATCTATGCAAAGCAACCAATAAGATAATAAGAATTAAGAAGTACCTGATAACAAAGTAGACTTAGTTGCAGGTGGCAAATCATGTACTGGCGAAAAAGTCTCATTCAATGACAAATCAGAACAGCGAGATGTGTAACTACAATTTAAATAATTTGGAGTGTAAGATGTTTCACCACAATAATTTGGTAGTTTTTTAATTCCACTAATTGGAGTGTTTACATTAGATTTATCTGTGAATGGTGTAGTTACACATTCAGAAAATGTATCAGTTTTTGGAGTACTGCACTCAAAATTAAATTTTTTGCTACTGCCACTTTTTTTAGTGGATTTAAAAACTGAAGAAACATATTCCTCTGGATCGATACCTTTCTTAATTAGTACCTGACAAAAGTCCCTTTGTCCTTCAATGGCAGCTCTTCGTCTCAATTCTCTTTCTTCAAGAGTCACATATTTCCAGGGTTTGGAAGCAGGAGTTTTGGTTGGACTAACTAATGTATGTCTAGGTGTGCGTGGACCTGGGGTTTTGGGTGTTTTTGTAACAGGAAATTTCATGTACGGATCATCATATTTTTCAAATACTTTGTCAACAATATTTCTCCTATTTAAATCCGCTTTAATATTTCTATTCTTATGACTACTGAATATTTCTTCAGAGTTGTCATCACTTTGTGCTTCCTTACTAGTGGTACCTAAAAACTTGGTCAAAATATCCTCGCTGTCTTTACTTTGTTGTAATATATCTGGTAGAGCAATATGCTCATTAGAAATAACTACAGGCTTATCTATTCCATAGCTGTCTTCCATTGTCGAACATGTTTCAGAATCAGACTTTTCTTCACATTTACCACTGATGTTTCCCCAATCTTCATTACTCCAAGAACAAACTAATGTTGAAACCATTTTCAATATTAATATATATACTATAAAATATAAACTAACCAACACCAACAGCATTAATAAACATTATATCAGTGATTCCCATCGGTGTGAGATATTTTTGAAAATACAATATTTCCTTTAATATATTCCATAGTTCATCTTCTGTCCGAAAACTTCAATACTGAATTCCGGAACAGATATACAAACTTTTAGGTTTAAATAACCTTATAATCACCACTTTAACACGGAATAATAAGAAAAGCAATCACTATGTCATTGTTCTACACAGGTACAAAACTTGACGATCCTGAGCGCGAATTCAGTTTTAATCAAAGGCAGGTTAGCCAATGTAATAAGTTTATTTCTCAATTGATTTCTACAATAAAAAAATCGAAACATGCATCTAAATTTTTAAATGTTTAGTAAAACTAATACGTTATAGTATGCTCTAATTAAATATGAAGTGAAGGAGTATATTTTAGATGAAAATAATGCTATGGTTTCTGAAGTTACGGTTTCATAGCTCATTTCCAAATCGAGGGGGTTAGTGCGGCAGTGATTGGATTGATTGTCAGCTCGAACTGCTACTTCTGTGTGGTGAACTCAAGTTGAAGAATTCAACGATGTTTAAATAATTCATCTATTATGATTCGTGTAAATACAATTTTAATACGATAGCAGTTGGTGAATGGAGAAACAATAATAATGCCTACGAAGGCTTCAAAAAAAGTGACTGGTATGATAATTCGGAACAGAAAACCTGTATTAAAGGATACTGTTATGACGGTAATTTAAAATTTTAATTTTAATTGTGTTGAGTATTAATTAGCTGTTTGGTAGTTAGTTTAGAATATATGGTAGATCCAACCCTTCAAATAACATTTTCAGATGTCATGAGGTATATTTTCTGTCATTACCTGTGCAACAAAGTCTAATTGTTTAACTTTCAGTGACTCAGTGTATTTTGTTCTTATTATTATTAAATAGATTTGCTGATATTTTAAAATGTTATTTTGATTCTATGTAGGTTTTTATATTTTTCCTTTTGATCTAACAATGGTTTTATCACTTGAGTGTCTTTTTCATGACTTTTGTTTTATGATGATAATTAAATTTTTAGAAAAAAATGCACTTATAACTTTACTGTAAAACAGCATAAAATATGGTCAACCAGCATCTGAATAAACATTGCAATTCAAATAAATGGGAATGTTATGTGTGATGTTTTTTGCTGCTTAATGAAATTATTACCTCAATATAGTATTTTATTTTAGTTTAAAATTGTATATTTTCCTTTGTTTAATAAGTGCATACGATAAACACTAAAATTACTTTATTGTGGTGAAGGGATAATACTTATTGAAGTTATTGAAGATATTTCGGGATCAATTAATTCTTAATTAAAACCAATATTTTGTTCTGAAGTTAAGCCATCGCAATTATTCACCTGTAGAATGTCTTATCAAGTGAAATGTGGATGATAAAGGTTCAACTGCTGACATTACAACATTTCTATCTGTTACAATATAATTATGCCTATCTGTTGTATAAATAGTAAATACTGTTAACCTACTGATGAGCAGTTAACTAACAATGTCATAGACCTATGAGTAAACTTCAGTTTAGTAGCCATGTAATCGCTGCTATTATTAAATGTTACAAGTGTGCGTGATGAAACTTAAACTATATACTGGTTTATTAAATTATCTAACTTTTTATTAATAAGTTATTATTTTTTGTAGTATACTTTTACAATGAAACTAAAATATATTTATAGTAAATTTACATATTGTGTTCCAAATTAAAAAATATATATTTTCAGAACTCTGGTGTTGGTGAACCAAGTGTATATCATGCTCTGGTGGTTATATTTCTCGAGTTTTTCGCTTGGGGGCTTCTCACCATGCCAGTTATTGCGGTTAGTATTAATATGATTAATTTGTTTCGAAGTAATTTTTTTTTACAATTGTTAACGATTTATTTTAATGTTTTAGACTCTTAATGAAACTTTTCCTGACCATACCTTTCTTATGAATGGTTTGATAATGGGAATTAAGGTATGTTAATGTTTTGTTTTGTTTTATAACTGTGGAAGTATCAAATTTAATGAAATTGTTCATTTTTTAGGGGATTTTGTCATTTTTAAGTGCTCCATTGATAGGAGCACTTTCAGACGTATGGGGACGAAAATTTTTCCTGTTAATAACTGTATTTTTCACTTGTGCTCCTATTCCATTAATGACTATCAATACTTGGTAATTAAATGTTTATTTGATATTCAAACAAATATATTTGATGAAATTTACTTTTTTATATTATCTTCTATGTTTATTGATAGATAACTGGTTTATGTATATATTTTGCTTGCAGGTGGTTTTTTGCCATGATTAGTATATCTGGAGTTTTCGCCGTTACTTTCTCTGTGGTGTTTGCTTATGTTGCTGATGTAACAGAGGAGCACGAAAGGAGTTTAGCATATGGCCTTGTGAGTTTGAAAAAATAATATATTTATTTATGTTGTTTAAAATCATACAAATACTTTTGAATATCATAAATATGATTTTATATTGTCAACAGTTTTTTCTTTTTAAAGTTATAAATGGTTCCATCACCAAAGGTGGTTTTTGTATTCTTTTTTTAGTCGCTTTTATAGTATATTACATAGATATTACGGAGAATTAGAATTAATATTTTTGGTGTATTCACAACTTTTTTGTTGTTGTTAATTTTTTATTCAGTGGGGTTCTTATTTCATTTATAACATTAAACAAAATAAGATCAAGGGATAATAGAAGTATTATATTCACATACATATTCGATTTATGAAAACTTTTCAGGATTTTTTTTTTTTTTTATTGCATTGTTTCATACCTCTTATTTAAAAATGATTGTTAATATTTTTCAAAATTAATTCTTATATTATTTAATGTTTATATTTTTCTTAAGGAAGAGTTTTGTGTTATTTTAGGTATAAAGTATGGAAACTTTTCTCTTCCTTGTATATCAATTTACTTGTCTGTCTAACGTTTCGGACTCTTTGCCCATCCTCAGAGACATTCCCTTTCACTGTTAGAACATCACAATGTTATTAATTTGTTTCTTAAAATAGATTTGTCATTTCTGTGGTATCCCTCCATAGCTTAGTTAAATACTATTGTATGGTTCATTAGCTTCGATTTCAGTCATAAATAGATTCTTCTTATAATAAATTAGTTATTGTTTCTTAATTGAGTTTAAAGTACTCCAAAAAGGATAGGTTATCCTATATGTATCCAAATTATTTTAGCCAAAATAAGACGATAAGTTAATTTGATTCAGCCTTGCATCTGATTCCTAGTTGCCAAGTTGACGCTTCCACACACACTAGGCTGCCGCTCTTTATCTCTGTTGGTTTTGATTTTATCGCATCAAATTATTCACTCTTATATCATTCATTTAGACTTACAAGGGGAGACCGATTTCAAACAAATTGTTTTGGTAGTACTACATCAAAAATATTGGTCACATATACCGCCATTCATTCCAATGGGCCCTAGAAGCCGAGAAAAACCAAATTTATATAAATTCAAAGTTATTTTTACCTTTACTTATTTACTGTAACTTATTTGTCACTTAGTTTTGCCTTTGATTTGCCTGAATTTTCAGGCTACTATATATCAATAGATTTTTTTTCCTAATAAGAAAAAAATATTGATTATTGTATTAAATGAATTATAATGTATCGTAAACTATAAAAACCAAAAGGCACTTGTAGTAAATTAGGCCAAGTCAATTTTAATTATGATAAAGCAAATCAGATTCATTTTGAGAGTTTTTTTAAAAATCTTAAATATGAATTTTTATACTAATAAAAAAATACCAACTTAAATACTTGATTTTCTTAGATTTTTTTTTTTGTTTCTGACCGTCAACTGAAGCATTCATAACTCCTCGGATTTTCTTCTAATTTGACTTTAATATAACTATTGGAAAGCTGAATTATTGCTCTTCCAACCGACATCTATATCTGTTGGATTTAATTCCTTTTTAAGCTAGAAATTAAGAAAAACTTGTAAACCCAATTTTGTTTGATATCTTTTGTTCTAATTTGTTTATGAACGTCGGGTTTATACCATTTTCGTGTGGATCGATTGAGACATTCTAAAGTTATCACAATTTTTGTGGTTATTGACAAATTTTGAGGTATCCACTAGGCAAAAATTTTAATTTTTCTATTGCTATAAAAATTTGTATTAAAGGGTCTTTTGAGGTACGAAAAACAAATATCAACTTTGTTTTTCCCTAAAAAAATATTTACTCTAAATGCCGTACCGGTTTTGAATAAATATTATATTTGGCAGATAGCCACAATATGGGCACGATTTGGACCAACCAACATAATGTGTGAGTAAATATTTTTTTCAGAAAAAAAATCATCCAAAAAAATAAAGTACTAAAGGTTGTATTTTTCTATTTATATAATAATTCGTAATTAAGTGTTGTAAAGAACGTTCAAAACGAATCTAACTTGTTTTTTTTTTTAATTACAAAAATTTACTCGTCCTACTTTACTGGAGGTTTTTTTTTTATTTTTGTAAGTTATGATACATTATTATTCATTTAATACAATATTCAATATTTTCTTTTTATCCTACACAAATATAAGAAATTTATTCATTTATAACAACCTGAAAATCCAGGCAAAGCAAAAGCAAAAATAAATAACATAAATTTTGCTTGAAATTATATTTTTTTAAATTTTCTCAGTTTCTAAGGCCCATTGGAATGTATAACTCTGATCTAACTGATCTAACAAGAAGTAGGTAATCCTTTTTACACATATTTGTGGATTTTGTCTCATCCAGTAGAATACGGTTATACTGGGTTTATATTTTCCAACTTAGTTTAGTTCATTGTTCTTCTTTTTGTGCTCTCCTTGTCCACTGACCAATTGCTCCTTTTAACCCTTTAATGACAGTGGACTCGTATGAGTTAAGAGCCTGTCAGTTTCTTTTTCATTAAACTACGGAGTTCTCAATGATTCTCTACTTTTAAACTATCTCACAGCCATCCTATAAGACAGTAGGTGATTTTTCTGCGACTGGAGATTATGGGCACTTATCTCTGCTAAAATTTTCAATACTGTATAGCTAAGATGTTTTCCGTTTATCTGCTGATGGTTTTTATGTTTATTGTCCTTCTTGAAACAATTTTATCAGGCAATTTTATAATTATGTTTAGTGTTTAATTATAATTATGTGTTTTGTGCTTAATAATTTAGTGTAACTGTATTGTATACAATCTACTCACCAGTATTCTGAATGATATT